CCCCCCCCCCCCCCCCTATTGGAACAACAGTTGTACCTAGTTGTTTTGGATTAGTTCTTAGCTTTCATGATTATCTTTAGATTAGATATAGATTTAGAGTTATCCTTTTAGTTCATACTTATCATTCAGTTAGTTAGCTTTAGTATCACGCCCCGAACCTGGGCCTGGACGTAACACGGCACTCGGCGCCCGACTACATGTGACCGAGCGAACCAACTGGCTGGCTGAATCAACATGTGGTATCATAACATACTGAATGCAGAAGATAAACTAACACATGCTGATATGCTGAAAATTGTGGATGATATAAATCAAAGTCCGGAAATACTAATACAATTCTGAAACATATTTGTAGCCAACATGGCTTAATATGAAAAGTCTGTGACTCTGTCTAACTGTTACTCTAGTCTATGAAGCCTCTAGTAATATACTGAAAATACTGACTGCCTTTAAGTACTGAAAACTGTAAGGTAATGATAATGCCCCGAAAGAACTGGGGATCACCAAATTAGCTGGTACGAGAATCCTAGCGCTCTGAATCATCAACCTGTTAATCATTACCTGCATTATGAGATGCAGGCCCCGGGCAAAAAGGGACGTCAGTACATTTGAATTGTACTGGTATGTAAAGCAACTGAAAGAAAGAATTATAAATGCTGAAACTGAAACTAAGCTGATAACTGAAATGATAACTATAGAAACTGAAACTGAAGTGAGAACTGGTAACTGAACGGATAACTGAAAAGATAACTCATAACTGATAACTGAACTGATAACTGATAACTGATAACTGAACTGATAACTGAAAAGATAACTGATAACTGATAACTGAACTGAATAAAGGAAGTAAGGATATGAATACTCCTTCTTCTGAATGATGAACAACCTGCTTATCTGAATATTAAACTGCGGCCTCAGGCCCAATATATATATATATGTGTGTGTGTGCACAAGCTGCGGCCTCGGGCCCAAGTATACGTATACATAACTATGACCTCAGGTCCAAAATGCATAAAGCATAAACTGCGGCCTCAGGCCCAAAGATGCATAAAGCATTAGCTGCAGCCTCGGGCCCAAAGATGCATAAAGCATTAGTTGTGGCCTCAGGCCCAAAGATAGGTGTCCAACATTCAGGGATTTAAAATCAGGAACTGAGAATCATACTGCAATACATAATAGTGAAATACTGAATCACGCTGAGTTATATGATACTGGAATACTGGATCACACTGAGTTACATTATACTGGAATACTGAATCATACTGAGTTACATAATACTGAATACTGAATTCTACTGAGTTACATAATACTGGAATACTGAATAGGACTGGAATGATACATGTATTCTTGAACTGGTTATGAACACTGAAACTGCAACTGTTTATGACATGCTGAGTAAGCTATACTGAGACTTCGGGGAATCAAACCCAAGTCTATATTGAATACGAACTGAGCTCACAACTTTCAGAATGAAAGTCATGAACGAGTTATGAAGCTAGGGAATAGAAGTTCTACAACTATTCAAGGAACTAGGCTTAACTGTATTTCTGAGGCAATTGATACGTTGTAAAAGAAACGTAGTGTAGGGAAAATCATTAAAATTCCCAAACATAGAGAGTTAGCCTCACATACCTTAACTTCCTGCTCTTGAGCATAATACAACGTTTGTCAACCCCTTTCAACTTTAATCTAAATCAATACAAGTCAAAGGGATTCCATATTAGCAATGATTCTCATGTTTTGATCACTTAAGCATCTTATCAAACACTTGGTGAAAATAAAGCTTCATAGTCCTTATTAATGGTGTCTCTACACCCAATGACCCATTCTCTTGTTCCTAGATAAATTCTAAAGCATCAAATTGCTATGTTCAATACCCTTCTTTATCACCCATAAGATAAACGATATCTTTAATCAATAATCAACAATCAACAACCCAATCCTACAACTTTTCATGCTTTTCTATCAAACCCATCAACTCATATCTCATGAACTAGGGTTTATAATCATTAAACCAATGTTAGAATTAATTAGAGGGTGAAGATATTACCTTTTTGACGTTCAATCTTCTTGAATTCGAGTTCTAGGGTTTCTTCTCTCAACAATGGTGTCCCAATCGAATATCTAATGATATGGAGGGTTTACCCATGTTAATAAGATGTTGGGAAATTGAAATTAACTTAAAATCACCATTAGAACTTACCTTGGGTGGTGGAAGGACCCTTAAGGAGTTAGGTTTTTGAGAGTTCCCCTTTCTAGAGCAAGTTTTTATGTTTTGGGGCTGTGGGGGACGAAATATAGCTTTAAAACGACCCCCCACGCGCGAGTTCGCGCACCTGGAGGCCTGTTCGCACGAGAGTTCGCGCTCAACGGCAGTAACACTGCCTCCCACGCGCGAGTTCGCGCACCTGAAGGCTTGTTCGCGCGAGTGTTCGTGCATACGCGTACTGTTCCGAAAAATGCACATAACTTTTTGCACAGAGATCCGTTCAGGCTCTATAATATATCGTTGGAAAGCTATTTCAAAGGCCTACAACTTTCATGCTTTAAGTTTTCTCAAATTCCTTACATATTTTCACTAAACACTGATGGAATACAGACCTTATGCAAACTTAGTCGATTTTGTCAAATCTTATGCAGCTCACTTTCCATCTTGATTTTGAAACAACTATTTTCACCCACAATCATCCCTCTAGGACTTCATATGTCTAAAATATCAAATTAATACCCATTTAACATATCCATACCTAGTCCGAATGTACGGGGTGTTACATTATCTCCCCTTTGGGATCATTCGTCCTCGAATGATTGTCCTGACTGTAACTTCTGCTAACTCCGGCCCTTAAACGGGTCTGGTGGAACCATGAACTTTCATTAACACTTGCATACTAAACATAATGAATACATGATTACTGAACTGCTGAGATACTGAATTGAGCTGCATTGACTGAATATTGATCTGCCATGAATATGTGAATACTGAACTAACATGGATATCTGAATATTGAACTGGCACGAATATTTGAGGATTGAACTAACATCAATATCAGAGTACTAAGCTGGCATGAATATCTAAGTATTGTACTGACATGAGTAGCTGAGTATTGAACGGACTTGAATAGCTGAGTATTGAACTGACATGAGTATCTGAGTACTGAACTGGCATGAGTATATGAGTACTGAACTGATATTAGTATCTGAGTACTGAACTGACATGATTATCTGAGTACTGAACTGACATGAGTATCTAAGTACTGAACTGACATGATTATCTGAGTACTGAACTGACATGATTATCTGAGTACTGAACTGACATGAGTATCTGAGTACTGAACTGATGAGTATGAACTGACATGATTATCTGAGTACTGAACTGACATGAGTATCTGAGTACTGGAAACTTGAATGTTATAACATGATACGTGAAATACTGGTTGTACCACCACTCATTCTGGTGGAAACTCCAACTCATAAGCTAATTGACCGATCCTTCGCAAGATTCTATATGGCCCAATATAGTAGGGACTATGCTTTCCCTTCTTCCCAAATCTCATAACGCTTTTCATAAGCGAAACTTTCAGAAACACCTAATCATCAACTTGAAACTCTAGGTCTCTATGCCGCACGCTCGAATAGGACATTTTGGCAGCTCTGGGTTTTCTTCAAACGCTCTTGAATCAACTTAACTTTCTCTATAGTCTGATAGACCAAATCGGGTCCTAACAACTCCACTTCTCTAACTTCGAACCAACCAATTGGTGATCTGCACCTTCACCCATACATAGCTTCGTACGGTGCCATCTTGATACTAGAATGGTAGGTTATTATTAGCAAGGTCAATGAGAGGTATGTGATCATCCCAATTACTCTTAACATCAAGGACATATCCTCAACTGCTTAAATAAAATGCTCTGCCTGG